CCCCCCCCCCTCTAAATCCCATGTTTAATGTCCAAATATGACAAATGATACATGGGATTCAGGGGGGGGGTCAAATTGACCCCCCCCAGCGTATCCTGGTTTTCAAGTACCCCAGCAGGGATAGGGTTAATATGGGATTTTCAAAATGATTTTTATGAACTCGGAAATTTGAAACATATTTTAATCTTGAAATTTAAATATTATGCTCCTAATACCTTTCAACATTGTTGACATCATTCACATTTCTGCTAGGGGTTTGCTAGGGGATTAAAGGGACTTGAGACGTAATGTATAGTAACCCTACATGAAAATTGTTTAATTCTGATAATTTCTTTAATTCTATTTCGCTTTTATACTTATCATTATAAGTCAGACATTGCCACTTTAAAAATTACGACGCTCGTACCTTTAAACGCGAGGTCTACCGCGTGTTTTTTTAAAATCTGAGCACTGAGGATTAGCTCAGGATAGAAAGACTAAATCTTCATAAATCCTGAATATTTTGCTTAAAATAGTTCAAATAGTTTTTAAGTTTTTTAAAAGTATGAAAGTAAAGCAAAGCCTAGGGAAGAATAGGACGATTAAAAGTTCAATTCTGAATTTTTTCTCCTTTATGCTTGTCGCAGCGAAAATACAAAAAGTTTTAATGTTTATCGTGGTAAGTCGGACTTGCTTAAACTTTCAACTACAGTCCCTTTAAAGGTGAATTCTACGTGCGTAGACTTTTCTTATCTAATCCCTGACCTATAACCTGAGAATGGGCTCGGAAAAGAAAACTCCCTAAACCAAAGAGAATAGAATATATATTAGAGTGGAATTTAGACAATCCTTTGGTATGAATTTTGTTAGTCCCTTTCAGCCTGAAAAGGAATTCAAAGTGTACAAAACATGTAAATGTTCACAAATTATATGCAGTAGAGTACATTAATACAGTATGTTCCCAAGACTATCCATTTCAATTTTCGAATTTTTTAAAGCTGTTAAATAAACTTTATAAAATGAATTAGATGAATATAAAACATCATTTGATTTATATGTATAACGGAAAATCATCGTTTGTAAAGTGAAATGCATAGCGTCTATGTGAAATGGTCATTGTTCAAGTATGAAACCAGCCTATTTCATAATTTGGTTTTCTTTTAATATTAATTTTAGATTTTCTAGATTTTGTATAAGATGATGTTCCAGGGCCCAAACGGTTATATAGCGTAAATATGTGAAGTACACCTGCAGTATGGAAACAGTACAACAAAATGGCCGTTTTACACTTTTTTCTAGTAAATTCCACTCTAATATATATTCTATTCTCTTTCCCCTAAACCCTGAATGTTTTGTTTACCTCAAGTATGAAAGTAAAGTAAAGCCTGAAAGGAAAGGATTAAAAGTTTTAAACCTAATTAAGAGAATAAACCCTTAAATGCATAATTACCAGTGTTACTAATAAAGGTTTGCTGAAAATGTGTAATCCAAAAATTTTATTATTATGATATTTTTAACCCTATCCCTGCTTATCTAATCCCTGACCTATAACCTGAGAATGGGCTCGGAAAAGAAAACTCCATAAACCAAAGAGAATAGAATATATATTAGAGTGGAATTTAGACAATCCTTTGGTATGAATTTTGTTAGTCCCTTTCAGCCTGAAAGGGAATTCAAAGTGTACAAAATCATGTAAATGTTCACAAATTATATGCAGTAGAGTACACAAATACAGTATGTTCCCAAGACTATCCATTTCAATTTTCGAATTTTTTAAAGCTGTTAAATAAACTTTTTAAAATGAATTAGGTGAATATAAAACATCATTTGATTTATATGTATAACGGAAAATCATCGTTTGTAAAGTGAAATGCATAGCGTCTATATGAAATGGTCATTAATTGGTCAAGTATGAAACCAGCCTATTTCATAATTTGGTTTTCTTTTAATATTAATTTTAGATTTTCTATAAAATTATGTTCCAGGGCCCAAAAGGTTATATAGCGCAAATTTGTGAAGTACACCTGCAGTATGGAAACAGTACAACAAAATGGCCGTTTTACACTTTTTTCTAGTAAATTCCACTCTAATATATATTCTATTCTCTTTGCCCTAAACCCTGAATGTTTTGTTTACCTCAAGTATGAAAGTAAAGTAAAGCCTGAAAGGAAAGGATTAAAAGTTTTAAACCTAATTTAGAGAATAAACCTGTAAATGCATAATTACCAGTGTTAATAATAAAAGGTTCCTGATAGTGTATTCCAAAAATTTTATTATTATATTTCTAAATAACTGAACGATTACTGATAAAAATGCGTTTTTACGAAGTAGTATTTTCAATAGTGATGGTTAAACATTTGATTTTTAAAATTTGTTGACTTTATAAAATAGTTTTACTTTAAAGGGACTATAAGCGTAATTTCAAGTGAACCTCCATGCAAAGATAGCTATAATGCCATGTTTCAAAGCGGTAATTAAACTTTCAATTAATATCATTGTTAATCTGGCATTACCGTGTTTATAATGAAGGATTACTAGAAATATTGCGGTGAATTGATTTCTTTCTTGATTTGTTCATTTTGTGTTCAGCTTGTCTTTATGTTTTTACCCCCTTCCTCACTGTAGGGTATTAGGGGAGGGTCAGCCAAAATTAATTTATGCCATAAACCTCTTAGTTATGTTTAATAAGGCTTAACCTCGCTTTAAGATTTTTTTGAGTTGTTTAAAAGTTATGTTTTAGTTAAGAATTTCGACCGAAACCCCGCTATTTTAATGAAAACTCTTAAAATGGGATTGTTCAACACGCTACTCTGATTAAATCAAGGTTTTGGCGTGCTGCCGGCGCCCCTACGCTTTTTAAATGGCTGTTAGAATCTATTTATATAATTAGATTATCCCGAAACCCCTGTGCTTTCTTGTGCTTTTGCTATAAAATATATGTTTTTCTTTCTAAAATAGCTCCCTAAAAAAAAAGACGACAAATAAATATATTGCGGGTTTACAGGATCCATTCAAGGATAAATATATAAACGGTAAAAGTAATTATAAATTAAGATCATTATAAATCAATGCAAGATACAATTGATGCAATGTTTGTTAATAAGGTTATCAGAATAACTTCATTTTTCCATTCTCACCATGAATCACAAGACAAATGCATTTTAAGATGTCCGGATAAAGTGAAAGAACAAATAATATTGATGAGGAGAATATTGAGCCCATATAGATCCATGCTGGTTTTAATTGTTGCATACATTTTCAAGGCTGGGTTGACTTTTAAATGTCGTAACGTCTTATGGTCTTTAATTTTTGAACCTATTGTAGTCCTATCCATGTACATTTCAGAACGTACTTGTTTTTAACTTTAATTTAAGTAGAAAATGGACAAAATTCGTATCTATGTTTACGAGACAGTTTGCAACCTTTGGATGAGTGTGAGCCCGAACTGTTGCCAGGGAAACCCAGTTTAAGTAAATTCATCAAAACTTCAGATTTTAATCATTTTTCAACTCTAATGAAAATTGTAAAAAATATTGGGTTCAAACAGTTTCAAAAATACAGAATTGAGTATTCACCACAAACTGATATTTGAATAATTTGATCGATCAGAATTCATAATCTGAAATATTTAACATCAACGACATTGGATTGCAAAAATATAGGGATTAGAAAATCTGAATTTTAAGATTGAAATTATTACTGGGGAAATTTCCAAGATTAAAATTTTCCCACTTTTTGAATATTTTGTTTGTATGTATGTTTTTGCTAACAGGAAATTTATTATATTTAAAAATGAAAGTGAAAAACAAGCGTCACACTATCAGAAATTTTCTTCAAGAATAAAAAATATCAATTTATAGTATAAAGTTTATTTTTTTATAATGCACTATAATTTCAGTAGAAGTAAATATTTCTATTTAATGATAGCACAGATTGAAGGATTCATAAGTCTGATTGGACAATGAGATAGATAGAAAAATAGATGTTACCGCTATACTATTTCTATTGGTTCAGAATAGACAACAAACACATGACAAAACCCTGATTGGATCATGCAGGCGAATGGACTTAGCATGACAGGAGTGAATGAATTATGGGGCAAACTTATCATGTTTTTGACCTGTAATTATGTAAAATTGTTAAATATGCATGATGTAACATTTATCTTTGTTTAGGGAAATATCTCCTACGTGAAGGGGTTTCCTTCTCAGTATTCAAGTCTGGAGATAGCTGTCCTATCTGTTATTATGACAGCTATGATGATACTCGTCATTGTAGGTAATATTCTTCCTAGTTTTGAACCTACATATATGGTCCCAGATTTTTTAAAATTATCTTTATGCAGATATTAGATATAAACAGTGACACCCACAACATGTTGCAATAGGAAGACGACATTTACGCAGTCTTTTGTTTATTTGAAAAACCGCAAATATCTTCACCAGTAGCTTTAAAATCAACTTATTCCGAGAAATGGGACTGTATTATACTGTGCTTCATGTTCTTTGGACTATTAAGAATTTTTAAAAACATTAATTTAGTCTAACAGTCGTTCTAATATTCCATGGTTTTACTGGTTACACTGTATTATAGAATTCAGATAAGATTTGAATAGTTTCAGCTATCATTTATTTTAATTAAAACTTAAAATTATCATTTGTAAAAAAAATATGTTGGATTCTGGTTCAATTCAAATGACTGGGAAATTGAGATTATTAGAAAGTTTTTCATAAAAATTATTTTTTGTTTTGTTTTAGGCAATATGTTGGTGATTATTGCTATTGCAACTGAAAACAATCTGACGAGTGTACAAAACTGGTTTATCGCATCATTAGGTAATGTTAAGTACTAGCTTGGGCAACCAGCTTTGACTGGAAACAAACAAACTGAGATTACTGCTTTATATAGATAGATAGATAGATATACATAAATCGATTAATCAATCTTTAAATATTATACCTAATGCCCCTGTGCATCTTTATCGGAGAGTAAATGAGAAAGATATCGTGGTTTCTTAATCTTAAAAGAAGATAAAAGCTGTCTCTGCAGCATAAATCCACTTTTAATTTAATTTAATTTTATATATATATATATTTTAAAAGGGTGGCAATGTGAAACGTGAAACATGCATCAAACTTTTTTAATAAAGGAACACTTGAAATTCCTTGAACAGTCCCATTAATCTGGAAATTTTAGTAAATGATTAAAACTAAAACATAACTTAAAGACTTTTTCATTAACACATTCACACGTTTTTTTTAATATTTTTTCGACAAGAATCAGGTTCTATGATAATCTAACTTTTACATACAAATCATTTTCTGGGGAAAAACATGCAAGTCCAGTAAACTGAAATTTTTAAATTAGCGAAAAATCCAAATGTCTTTTATTTTTACCGGGTTTTGCCAAAAAGTTGAGATCAAGAAGAACTTTGAATGAGTGTGTGCAAAAAGTTTTCCAAATATTCTACGTAATATTTGCACATTCTGCCTCATTTTGTCATTTTGTCATTGCACAATTTCTAAAATCCTATCATCAGAAAGGAATCTTTAGATCTAAGTATTTTTGGGACAGAAGTCATATTCTTAAGTAATCCTCTATTTGTATTATGTCCGATTCACAACGGTACCCTTAACATTTTTATCTGATCAAACTATGCATGTGATATCCCTGATATCACAATTTGTCTATTAATAGACACCTCTGACCCTTTAATAAAAGAAAATTCAACCTAAAGTCTGACCGCGTCAACCTTGTTGCACCGGCTAGTTCTATTGAGTGTCTGCTTTATTTACCCAATATCCGGGCGATACAGTACAAAGTGGGACCGGAAAAGTTGACCCGGCTCGGAAATTCAAATGTACTACGGCTGCCCGTGTATTACATGTCTAATTCAAAATTGTTTATTATTTATCGTAAGTTCTAAACAAAAGTCGGTTTCACATTAATCCAGTGACAAAATTATTATATAAATTAGCTTTCCTCATCAAGTATGAATTATGTTACAATAAACTGTTTTTACTTTCATTTGCGGTTACTCTGCGAAAGTGGCAATTGCGCATTTCTTGCGTATAAAAATAAATGGAAAAAATCATCAGAATAAACATTTTTTAATTAAAAAAACGACGATATCTTCCTTTTGTCACTCAGATAGAGGTTAGAAGGGTACCGTTGTGAATCCTACAGAGTTGAGTACAAACTTGAGATAATCTTGAACACATCAACCAAACAAATATTTGCTTTCATCAATATTCATTTCGAGAATTCATTCTCGGCTGGTTTTTTTATCATCTCGTTAACATAAGCTAATGTTAATACCAAAGCTTTTAGTTCAGTTAACATTTTTTGTTGTTCGTTAATCATGTTTACTGAGATATAGATAACTCTGAGAGTCATTCAACACATTTTTAGACAGCCTCGACAGTGTTACAAATTCTTAACATTTTGTTTTAGCTCATCAACTTTCTTATACTTTTTTGTAGCCCTAGACCTATGCATTTTAAAAGTAAAACGCTAGAGCGTTTGGTTTGGAGTGTGTTATCGTTCATTAATGATTTAATGGTTTATGTCGTTATAAATTACATTTGTTGTTGTGATATTATGGGCCCAAGTGTTTCAAGTGTTTTCAAGTCTTCATAATTAAATCGAAATGGCATTCCATAAAATTTCAGGGTTTTCTATTTTCTCAAATGCATTATTCTTGATCCTCTCCTCATCCCCTCCCCTCTCCCCTCCACATCCTTCGGTAAAATTTTGTTGAAAACCAAACAATTTTTTTAACAATTGATTGGAAATTCATGAAAATAAAAAATCTTTCAATTTAATCATCCAATAGTTTAATTATTCATGAAATTCATAATTAATGTGGAGTCGAGTAGTAGTGATGATGGTTAGATGGCCCCCAAACCATTATCAGGCTTTTTAGAAATCGTTCAAAACTTTTTTGTTAGCCTTAATCAAGTCTATTATAATTTTATTATTCAGAAATTGTTCTAACGATTTTTTTATTGTTTTAAGCCCACCCCCACCATTTTATGTTTGCAAACGTCTATTTTTGTTTTTCGTTTCCAACATATATTTTTAAAATACGTCGTGTATTTGTTTCGCGTGTTGGAAAACATATCTTTTAAAAACCATTAAAAAAATTATATACATATCCTGAGGTGGATGGATCGAGGGGGGATTTAGTGTTTGTGGAAGAAAATTAATATAAAACCTTCATAGTAAAGAAAATAATCAGTATAGAGTGGAACTTACAGAATACAAATATTGAAACACACAGAAATAAGTTAAAAATAATATATTGAAAGGGACTGCATGTGAACTTAATTTTAGGGACCCTTCATCTTTCGAGTGGCATTTCCGATATTGTTTTACAGTCAATTGAAAACTATCAAATTTTGACATTTCCTGTTATGTCTCTGCAGCAAAAATCCACATGTTTTTAAAAAGCGAAATAAAATTGAAAAATTGAAAAATTTAGTAAGGCTAATGGAAACTGATATAATTGATTTATTGCGTAGTTTTTTCAATAGTGTTTTTACACAGCATGGGTCCCGTCAAACATGATAATTTGTTAATAAATAGACATTTCGTCTGGTTAAGATATTGCGGTGTTTTTCATTCGTCACTTTTAACCCTGTGGTCAGGTCTTTTTGTGATTAGTAAATTTTACTGTTAATAAACTGAATTCTCTCGAATTTTTGTATCTTTGCAACCCAATGTCGTTGTCGGTAGACATTAGTTATTTTAAACTATTAATTATGTTACATGAAATAATTAAAGTTTTCACCATCAGATTGCAAAGATATAGGGAATAGAAAAATTGAGTTTGCAGCAAATACTTAATTTCTGTCTATTTAATCGGTAAATACTAAAATAAACATTTATTTTTTAATAACAATTTAAGATTTTAAAAAGAAAAACAAAGACCGTCCTCAAATTATAAGAAAACAAAATTAGAGTAAGTTTTGAATTATATTGTCCATATTTTCTTCTTTACTAAAGGGACTGTAAGCATATTTTCTTCTTTACTAAAGGGACTGTAAGCATATTTTCTTTTTTACTAAAGGGACTGTAAGCATATTTTCTTCTTTACTAAAGGGACTGTAAGCATAATTTCAAGTGAATCTCCATGCTTAATTAAAAAACCTTTGACTGATTATCGTCCGTTGAAAATTCGATCTCTCCTTCACAGATTTTAAAACCATCTAGCAAACATATTTATCAACATTTACAAGTGATTCTGTAGAGGCAATTAATATATAATCTTTGATTCGTCAAAGGTTTAACGGGTACTGTTGTTGTGAATCTGAAACACCGCTCTACAAAAAGAGGGTACTTTAAATCACAGTCGCAATAATTATAAGTTTTTTGTTATTCCAATAGCCATATATTTTTTAGCGTTTGCGGACTTGAGTCTCGGGCTGATCATAATGCCGTTCTCCCTAGCACAAGAGGTAAGATGTTCTCCCTAGCACAAGAGGTAATATGTTCTCCCTAGCACAAGAGGTAAGATGTTCTCCCTAGCACAAGAGGTAAGATGTTCTCCCTAGCACAAGAGGTAAGATGTTCTCCCTAGCACAAGAGGTAAGATGTTCTCCCTAGCACAAGAGGTAAGATGTTCTCCCTAGCACAAGAGGTAAGATGTTTTATAAACTTTAATTTTAACAAAGCATTTGAAAATTACGAACATTTTATTGAAAGTATGAAGATCTCACAATTTTACATATCCTTCAAATTCTGCATATTATTTTGAGTAAAAAAGGAAATTCCGAAATCCTTTTGCGTGGAACTCATAGATCAATGAGTTCTTTTAACAATCAAAGTGAGAGCGGGAAAGAGGCCGGTTGACGCGTATTAGGACAGCTCTATGGATCGTGTTTTAGTTTTAAAATAAACAATAATAATTGAGTCCTTCCATACCATACTCAGGAATGCTGCACCTTCTTCACAGCTTTTGTTTTGTTTTTACTTTAAAACTAGTTCCTAAGCTGCCACAAACGTAAACAAACCCTCTTTCCTTTCCTTACTTCTACTTTTATTGGTTTCTTGTGTGTCTGGAAGTGGAAAGGAAAATGTATTCAAGAAGCAATATTTTCATTATAATTTCTAGAATGGTCGAACTTTTTCTCTTTCAATATGTCACATATTGCTAAGTCATTTCGAAATCAGAACTGATAGAAAAGAAATCAGAAGCACATAAAATATTAAAATCCTAACGGATCAAAATAATTTGATTTTTCCCAATCTTGCACTTTTTCCAACCTTCCTTTTGATTTTTTACTTCTTCTTTTTATATAAGTCATATTTATATAATTAATGTTTTTTAACTCTCGGCCACATTAAAAAAGTGATTTAACTATTATCATTATTATCTGACCTTAGAGCTCCAAACTTTTAAATGACGAAATTAATTAAACTCTCCTTGCAGGGAGACTTATAAATCTTTTATTGGTTTTAATTTGAGTCGAATCTATATATATGTATATATAATTTATTTTCGACAATCTATATAGTAAATATATTGATAAATATAAGTCCTTATGAAAGATAGCAATAAATACAAAGTTTAATGAAGGTTTCATCAGAACCAAATATAATAATAATAAGAATGACAATATATCACATTAAATACCAAAAAATGGAATATTACAAAAAATACAATTTTTGATAATCTCAACTATAAGTATAGTCATTCAGTTTCAATTAAAGATCCTAACTATATTTTCAGTTGCACATGTTTGGTAGTACATTAGTTTCAATTTAAGATCTTAACTATATTTCCAGTTGCACATGTTTGCTAGCACATTCAGTTTCAATTTAAGATCTTAACTATATTTCCAGTTGTATATGTTTGCTAGCACATTCAGTTTCAATTTAAGATCATAACTATATTTCCAGTTGCACATGTTTACTAGTATATTTAGTTTTAATTTTAGATCTTAACTATATTTCCAGTTGCACATGTTTGCTAGCACATTGGTTCCAATTTAAGATCTTAACAATATTTCCAGTTGCACATGTTTACTAGTATATTTAGTTTTAATTTTAGATCTTAACTATATTTCCAGTTGCACATGTTTGCTAGCACATTCAGTTTCAATTTAGGATTTCCAGTTTACTAGTTTACTAGTTTACTAGTTTACTAGTTTACTAGTTTACTAGTTTACTAGTTTACTAGTTTACTAGTTTACTAGTTTATTAGTTTACTAGTATATTTAGTTTCAATTTAAGATCTTAACTATATTTCAAGTTAAACATGTTTGCTAGTAATATAAAGATTATTTTAATTCCTACATGTTTAGCTTGAAATATAGTTAAGATCAAAAATTGAAACTGAATTCACTAGCAAACATGTGTAACTGGAAATATAATTATGATTTTTAATTGAAACTAAATGTACCAATCTTTATATTAAAGCTTTTCGCTCGTGCGATTAGCAGCGCCTGGTGAAAAGTTGTATTTTTTTTTGTGTTACTCTCCTGTATTGTGTTTTATCAATATTTTTTGGAATTTTTTTTATTTTTTTCTGATACTTCAAAAAATACGTTAACCTTCTAGTTTCTTTTGCAAAATCAAAAGTTCAGAAAAACAAAAATGTGTATTTTTATTATTTCGATCAAATTCTAAAAATGTATGAAGATCAGAGAATCACAGAAAATTAGCTTAAAATTGTAATAAGAAAATTAGCAATTTTCAGTTCTGATATAATTTTTAATGAAAAGTTCTTTAAATCCTCTATAGTTCCTATTTCTTCTTTGCATATTCCAAATTTTTGAATATACGCTCTATTCAGTTGAAACCTGAAGAGCCATTGAAAGGATTATGCTTATATATTTATATGTCAGCTATTGCCGGCAAAATGGATGGACCGAATGGACTCAAGTTTTTTGAGGGTATCGTTGTTTTATTTCTTTCAAAAAGGTATTTTTTTCTCAAAAATCGGATTTTCTTTTGAAAATTCGATTTAAGAAATTCCACGGGCAACACCAGGCGCACTTTACTCTTCTGCTAGTTACATAAAAAATTAAATTCTTAGTTACATTGATGCTAGATTGGGGTGAGTGTATGTGATGTCTGGAAAGAGGAAATATTACGTTTCAGATTATTCTTATACAATATACATCATAGAAAAGATTGTTAAGTTGTTTTTTTATCTTTTATCTTAAAGAGACTGTTAAAGGGACAGACCGGCAATGTAAGGTAGTTAAACTGAGGAAGCAGTGTTGTTGACAAATTCTTTAGGATTCATTTGAGACATATAAAACTTTTTAAAGATCTAGAAATCATGAGTTTGAGCGCAAACTCGACGTTCAAAATCGTACTTTAGGGTGGAAACGTTTTTAGATTTTTAAAAAAATTATTAAATAACGACGACAAAAATGTAAACAAAATTCTACAGTAAACTAATTAGTTGTTTAGGAACAGGTTGAAAAATTAAAAATGAAAATAAAAATTAACTCTTATCATCGAAATTAAGTAATCTTATTCAATTATTAGTTTCTATAATCTCTCTTTAATCACAAAGATTTTCTGCAGATTTACTGGAATTTTTATTAAAAAGCCGACATTTCAAGAAATGGAAAAATCTGCGAACAAATGCAAATAAGAAATTCAATATGATGATGAAAAAGGAAATAATTAATTCTAATTTAGAATTAGAATCGGTACTTTATTTTTCGTCGGCGTTATCTAATAATTTTAAAAAAAAACCGATTCTGAAAACGTATCCACCCAAATTCATGATTTTGAACGTCGACTTTGCGCTCAAACTCAGTTATTATACATCGTGGAAACGTTTCATTTGTCTCAAATGAATCCTAAAGAATTTGTCCACAACACTCCATACTCAGTTTAACTACCTTACATAACCGGTCTGTCCCTTTTCAAGGATCTTTTAAGAATGACGCTGGAACATTCATATTTTTCGCTTAGAAAATTGATTGTTTTAAAGTGTAGTCTCTCTGCCAAAAAAACGGTTTTGTACTAAAAAAAAATAAAGGATATAGTTGGAATTAATACTGTTAATATATCAAACCGTTAACGATCGGGTTATAAAAGTTTATAAGTTTAAACCTTTTCAATTTTCAAACTTTTAATCAAATAAATGAAATATCTAAGGTCTACAACATTGAGTTTGTGGCAGTAATTAATTTCGTCCAACTAGATATAATATGTTATTAAGCAGTATAGAGAATAACAGATTTATTTTTGTATGAAAATAAATATTTCTGAGTAGAAGAGAATTTAAACAAATATAAAAGTAAATGGAAAAGAAAATGGGAGAATAAGTTTGCAGACTGTAATAAAATTTCCGCTTGATCTTTTTCATATTTGAACAAAATGTGTATTTTTTTGTTTTCTCTGTTGGTAAATCTTTTTTGTTTTGAAATTAGGATTCCACTATAAAAGAAAAGAGATAATTTGATTTTCCGGCGAGTCAAACTTTTGGGTCCAACAAAAGTAATTTTACCAGAGTTCAACACTTTTCGATGAAAAACAAGGAGTATGGAATTACAAAGGAGAAAGGATCGACCCGGCCCGCCCTATCATATGATTGTACATGCTTTGCAGAGGGTACTCCGTTTGAAAAAGAGTTTTTGAAGGTTGTCTTTTAATTTTTTAATTTGTTTTTTACTTTACCATGGTCAAATAAAACCGATTTTTTACACGATAAAAAAAATACATTTGTATTGCCAATATTTTTGCATCCCAAAAAAATGTGTTTGTTTGGCTTTATTCATCAGCCTACTTATTTTCTTTGTGTAATGTATACAATGTACGCGGTATTTGTACATTTGTACATCAGACAGTTAGGGAAAGCATATTTCTTATTCAAATGGAGTACTGTCTGCAAAGCATGTATAATCATATGGTAGGGCGGGCCGGGTCGAACCTTTCTCCATTGTAATCCATACTCTTTGATGAAAAAGCACAAATCTACAATTTTTGATCTTGATATCCACTGTGAAAACTGTTAAATGATAGTGAGCTAACAAGCTTGATTC